AAAACTATCACTTCTTTTATGTCACCATCAATAGAAAAATTATTCTCAAAGCAAAATTGAGGGTTTAAATAATAACCAACTACATGTAGTGGTCTATGAAGTTGGACTTCCTGTTTTGCATCAAATTCCCTCCAAATAGATCCATACTTCTTTTCATTATGCCCACAATTAAAAGTATTTTTTTATTTTGCTAAATCCATTAACTTATAAATATAACCTTTGACTGACATTTCTTCTAATTCAAATTCTCTTAGAGCATTTACAATTGACACAACACTTTTTATATAATAAACAAGATGACCCAAAAAAATTGGATCAACCGAAATAACAACTCGAGCTTTTATATCTTCCATCTTCTTTGTCCATCGACTATAACACCAGGCTTCTGAGGAGAACATTGCCTGAATTGGTTGCTTCTGCTTCTAAATGCTTTAAAGGGTCAAATATGCTGTAGCAAACCATGTGATGACTAGACGAACAAGTTCTCTCTCCTTTGTAAAAGATTGCAACAAGCTTAGAACCCATTTGTGCCACTAAATGATTTTACAACTTATTTTGTTTTTGCAAGTGTGCTCATATGAATCTTCAACTTTTCAATGCCTTTTAATATTAGGTCAATACAATGTGTTGCACATGGTGTCCAATAAATATGTTATCTTTTCTCAATTATTTTTTACCAACATTCACATAGTTTGACCCATTATCTGCTATAATTTGCACCACATTGTTTTCTCACACTTCCTCAGTCATGTCATCCAAATAAGTGAATAGTAAATCACCACTTTTTATAGCCTTACAAGCATCCATAGATTTAAGAAAAAAAGCCCTATGTCGACTATTCATAAAAAAAATTAATCAAAGTTCTATCTTTTTCATTTGTTTAACTGTCTGACATAATCGAGCACCCATATTTACTACATACATTTTTATGCTTTTTTGACATCTTATAGAATGTAGGAACCTCATCTTAGAGTATCTAAGTTCTCAATTCATGCATTGTAAGCAGAGTGAAACAAGATCCAAAATCAACAAATGCTTCAAACATAGACATGTAATATGGGTCATTGAAAATATTAAACGCCAATCTGACTAAGTGGAAGAATCTATCAATTGCTCTACATGTTGCTTTTCTTTCATCTTTTCTTCATTTTGAATTTATAGTAGATTTTTTTTGCTTTTATTGTGGTGAAAAAATTCATTGGACCTCTAGCTCTAAGTGGCCTCTGAGAGGGGTCAACTAATGATGAGTTTGTAGCAATTTAACCTTTGCCAATATTTGTTGCACAGTTTCTAATATCATTTAAGACACTGTCATGTTTTGCTTTGACTTTTGCATCTTCTTCTAACGCTTTCTTACATCTTTCTTGAACTTAAATAGGGGCTTTAATACATAGCTTAATGCTCTTGTGTGTGCCTGTAAGATGTTTTACCTGTTTCACTTGATTACAAGACATCTAAATTCATTGGGTATGCTTGTTCTATGTTATTATGCAAAGTATATCTTGCAAGTGTGACTACTACCGGCCACACAATCCTCCTCTTCTATTACTAATAGTTAATAACTAATTTAACACATTAAAAAAATAAGATCAAATTCACCTCGAGCAAATTGCCTACATGAATATCTATATATATATATATATAATATGATTTATTGTAGCTAGAGTGTTCTTTAGCAAAAATTTAACATAAAAGAAAAAAATATTTGTGGTTCACTGCAGCAGCTACAGTGAAACTACTGTAGCAGATACAATGATATTATAAAAAAATGCAGCACAACCTCTATAATAACAAAAAAATTTGCGGTGCAGTACAATGATAAATTAAAGACACATAATTTCAATGTTTCTATTTCTAAACTACAATAACACAAATAAAGAAGCATAAAACATCACAAACCTCAGGCGAAAGCAGAGAAGACAATGCAGATGGGAGTGCAGGAGAGACAGTGCGAACGAGTGCAGGAGAAGCCAACACAGATGAGCCTAATCCAACCCTGCGTGCCAGAGGAGAGGATAACACAGACGATGCAAAGTTAAAGGAAGAAGAAGAAGAAGAATGTGAGTGCACAGTTACTGTGCGAAGGAGAGGAAGGAAGAAGGAGAGGTCGAATGAAGAAGAAGAAGGAGAAGTCGAGTTCGAACTGTTGGGGGCATGATTGCGTGCAGCTCGAATCAAACAAGTATTTAGAATGAATTTTGAACCCCATTTTATTCGAATGGGAGGTTGGTCATACCCCCAGTGAGCAAGTTTTATGCTCCAATACTTTCCGGATGTAAGCCTCGTGCGCATATACGCCCCCCTCGTGAGCTTGGGGCAGAAGACCTGACGCCTCGTCCTAGGGAAAATATTTGCATACGCCGGAAGGTTGTTCAGAGGGTACAGGGAGGTTGTATCTGCATTATAACCCCTGTAGTTACAAGGAGGTTATACGGGAGTATAATACGATATAAACCTCCTGTACCTTCTGAATAACCTCCAACGTACGCAGTGCTACTTACGTCTCACGCAAATATTTTCCCCGTGATAGGGCGCTCACCGAGCGCTCCCTAAAAATGCTTTTTAAAATAGAGGACTTCCAGCAACCCAAACACCTCTCGCCTCTAGCCCGCCGGTGAAGTCTCCCTCTGATAGCGTCTTTCTCATCCCCGCCCAGCTCCTCACCGAAATTGACTCCCTAGCTCAACTACACCTTCTCCGACCGAGCTCATCGCTGGAGAAATGCCTTCCCGTCTTTGTTTTTCAATTCCAATCAGACTGCAGCCCACTTCCAGCCTCCCTGTGCCATCCAAAACCCAACACACCAGCAAGCTTATTTCTTTCCAATATATGTGCAAAGAGGTTGCTCCCACGAACTCCACAAGCCACAACTTCTTCAGACCTCCCCTTCTTCACTACAATAGAGCATAGTTACTCTATGGATGGTTCCACTTTAGTGAAATTGGAGTTATTAACATATCTGGCATGCAGAAACTTTCTTATGCAAGAGCAAAGAAAAGCCATTTTGTTTGCAGAGCTTGCTGATCTTGCCTTCATGGAGCCAATGGTGATGTGCTATGTTACAGAGTTTGGACGATAAGTTAAAACACTTCAAGAAGCAACCACACCATCACATCAACCGACCATATTATAGCCAATGGGCCGAGCACTGAAAACATAAAGTTGAATGCACAATACTGTACTCATCCCGTCAATTTGAAATTTCTATATGCTATGCATTTTAATTTGCAGTTATCTCAAGTCCCATGGTCATTTTTTAAGTGTCTTAGGTTAAAGATCCCTCTGCGTCGTATCGAAGCAGTGAGAATGGCTTCACATGTGTGCGCGTTATTACTTTTATGCTAGTACATGGAGCCCTATGCACTATTTTTTAAGCATGGTGGGTTATGAAGACCCCTAGACCTACACTTTTTTAAGGTTTAGGAAGGTCTTAGCTCCCCGAAGTAGCCTTATAAATGGGTCATAAAAGAGAAGCTAAATTGAATATAAATAAAACACGTTGACCCACAAGAGACTCGACGACTTGTCAAGGAGCTAGAATGAAACCTTTAGGGGGTCCACCGAAACACTCAAATGGGAGCTAACCATAGGACAGATTCACAATTCTAAATATTCAATCGAAGATTAAAACATTGGCATTGCCACTGAATCCACAACCGCAAATACACAAGCAAATAGAAGAAAAAACTAAAAGCTTGAATGAAAATATTTGCATTCAACTTAATGATAATATACCATTGCAAATTCTCGTGCAAAACTATTTAAGGATCTCAACCCAATAAATATAAAATGCTTGCATGTGCTCCGATAAATGAGCTAATTAGTCGATCATAAGGCTGAGAATGCTGCGCGAGTAATGGGTCGCTTTGCCTATAGGGTGAGATCGTAAGTTCCACACTTTGGTCAATTTGATCATCCTCCTTACATGAACCAAAGTAGACAAGATTGAGTCCCAACTAAGCCAGTCTGATACTTCTCCTTATGAGGACTGGAGTTGACTGGACTAATGTTCTTAATGATGTTTAAGCAATCAATCAATAGGCTGACTTGCATATAGGGCAAGGTTGTAAGTCCCACACTTTGGCCAATACGATCCTTCTTGCAAAGACTAGAGCTAATGCTCTTAATGATGTTTAAGCAATCAATCAGTGGGCCGCTCTGCCTATAGGACAAGGTCATAAGTCCTGTACTTTGGCCAATCCGATCCTCCTCCTTACAGGGACCGGAGCTGACAAGATTGAGCCCCCACTTTGGCCAATCTGATTCTTCTTCCTATAGGGAATGGAGTCAAAAGGATTGAGCCCACACTGAGTCAATCCGATCCTCCTTACGAAAGCTAGAGTTGACAGGACAGCTACTTTTACTGGCTTAAGTTATAATATTCCCCGATGATGGCCTAGTTGATAGAATATTTCGACCAGATGAGTATATTTCAAAGTTATGTCTCAAAGTTTATTTCAAATTGAATTATTTCAATTATTGAGCCTGATCCTCTGTAAGTTCGATAAAGTCAATAGGGTTTAAAGGCTTCAATTCCCAATGATGGCCGTGTTGATCATGAATTTCAACCGGAGGGGTCTATTTCCAAAATTAAGTTTTAGAATCATTTAAATTACTATGAACCCGATCGTCTGTAAGTGAGATAGAATCGATAAGGTTTAAGAAGATTATTCTCCGATGATGATCATATTGATCGTAACAGAGTTGTTCTTTTATAAAATTAAAATATTTTAAATCATAAAAAATAGCATTCAAATGAAAAATCTATCACTTAAAAAAAGCTTAAGCAAAATCCATCAGCTATTCACAACTATTTGTCAAGGCAAACAAATTTAATATTGACTCGAGCTCACAATGAGACAATGTCATTCAAAGTATACTACTAAATTCATGCTCTAAAAGAATCTTGCAATAAGGACGTGGCCCGAGTCCATTGTCCATTTGGTTCGTGTTGCCAAATGGCATCACAAAGAAGCAGTTAAGAATCCTGTCGGCCGGGATCTAAAGTCCTAAAGCCTTGCAGCACGAGCCTATACCTGAGCAGCGTTCCTTCGCCGGTATGCTGCGCTCTTTTGCCTCCTAGGATTGTACAAAGAAAGGTTCAAATTTTATTGATTCAACTTGAAGAAGATGACATAATCAATATAAATATTTATTAAATATAATATAAAAATAAAATAATGATGTAATAATGAAAAATATAAAAAAAGAGCAAACTAATAACAATTAAGAATCTTGTGAGCCAGGATCTAAAGGCCTAAAGCTTTGCAGCACAAGCCTATACCTGAGCAGCGTTCCTACGCCGGTTTGCGGCGCTCTTATGCCTCGTAGGATAGTACAAAATTGGTCCGATGAGGCTTATTTGTGGTTCGACTAGTTTATCGGTATACAGGTCAAACTATTAGTTAGACTGGTTCTGAGAGGTTCACAACTAGAAAGAGTTTTTTTTTTTTAATGATTCGGACTGGACTGACCACTGATTCATGTTCGAACCAATCTAACCGACTGGTCTGATCCAGTTTTCTAGAACTTATGAAAATGTATATTTCACTTTTAAGAGATTATGATAATACTATTTTTGATGTGATGTTAAAGAGTTGAGTGCATGTGAGATATAGAAATAGATTAGATTTATGTGCTATGTTCGTGGATGCCCCAAATTTTAAGCAGTCCACATAATCTTTCTTCATAATTTATAATTCACACAACAAAATAGTACTTTTACCAGCGCATCCCTATGGTAGCAACGTCTTTATTTTTTGTAATTTGGTGGTGCGGTGAAAAATCATTAAGAAAAAAAAAAGTCAAAATTTCATTGATCAGCATAACAGTTCAACTAAAATCAAGCAAAGCTTACAGAAAAAGCATCATTCTGTCTAGCTGAAATTTCCAGCGCACTCTCCAGCTTCTTCACAACCTCCCCCATTGATGGCCTCTGTCGCTTGTGCGCAGTACAAGAGATGGCAACTTTAAGCACCACATTAAAAGCTTCCATTGAGAACTCTCCGTTCATTCTTGGATCCACAAACTCCAAAGTATTTCCTCCATTCATAAGAGCCTTAGCCTGAACATTAAACTTATTGTCAGCTGAAATATCGTCATCATATCATACCACAAAAAGCAGCTTACTTTGATTTCTTCAGCTCACCATTTTGTCTAATGATGCAGGCATTGTTATGTCCAGACTGATCATTCTCTTCCCCGAAATAATTTGAAACAGAACCATCCCGAAGCTGTAAACATCTCCTGCAGCATTCACGTGGTGGTTTCGTCGGTATTCTGGATCAACGTAGCCAAAGGTACCTCTCACTTCAGAGCTGACATGAGACACACCAAGGTCTATCAATTTCGACAAGCCAAAGTCTGCTAGCTTGGCTTCAAAGTTGTCATCTAGCAGAATATTGGTTGGCTGCAACGGTCATATGTGCTTAGAATTAGCTCACTATAGGAACCAATATTATTGTCATTGTTATCACTAACCTTGATATCACGATGAACAATGCATCCTCCTTCATAGGTGTGGAGAAAATAAAGCCCACGAGCGCTGCCTATAGCTATCTTAAGTCTCTGAAGCCATGAAAGTACTTTTCCTCTACCTATTAGTTGGCATAAACAGCATCAGTAAATGACAAAAGGAATGTTGAGTAACAGAGGCTGTTAGAACCAGTTTAAGTACCAAAAAGCCATTCAGAAAGACAGCCATTTCCGTAGAGCTCATAAACAAGGAAGCAGTCGTGTTGTCTTTCACAGTATCCTCGCAATATTACAAGGTTAGGATGCCTCACATGAGAAAGACTCGTAACTTCTCTTAGAAAGGTCTCGGCTTGTTCATCCTTAATGATGTGCTTGATTGCAACTTGCCATCCGTTTGAAAGAACACCTTTATACACCTTTCCTTGATTCAGAAAAGATAATCATAGAGTTTAAATAGGGTGGAAATTTCCTTTATTATGTTTAGAAGAAATCGGCAAAGTCTTATTAATTGATAACCAGATAGTATTGAGAAGCCTAAATTAATCAACTGAAGGTCCATTCTTATAAATACAGTATGAAAGGAGAGCAGAGACTTAAAAATCATATATAATGGCTAAATTTAATGATTGTGTTAACATATCTGAACTATTACAAGTTCTAACATTTTTATAATATGAATATTTACTACTCATTATTATAATTTTTTCTCATTACTATTTGCAAATAGAAACAAGAACTTACCAGCGATGCCTTGACCAATGAAGTTGTGCAAATGTAAATTGTTTGTTGCAGAATAAATCTCTTTAATAGAAATTTGCTTGCAGTCATTCTCCTCAAGCATCAACGTTTCAGAAACTACATATATTTTGGTTCAGAGTAAGCTTCGCACTTTTTAAAATAGAATTTCTCTCCAGAAGTTAGAATTACCAGAAACTGAATGGATTGCAGGATTCTCCTTTGGAAGTACTTTTACTGATTTCCTTTTCAGAAAACACCAAGATGCAAAGGCCATTATAATTACGGCAACAGCAATGATCCCAATAATTATAAAATTGCCTGCTAGCATGACTGTCAAAATTTACTAAAAACAAAGAAGATTAAGATAATAGCAAGGGCATAAATATTTCAACTGTTTATTACTTTACCTGTCATCTTATACTTTCAATACCATCACCTGCCACTGTAAAAATATAGAAGAAAAAAAATCATCAAGAACATTGAATAAATTTCAGACCTTTAACAGTAAACTAAAAGCATTAAAAAAACAGTAAATTTTAGCATAAAAAAGAAAGAAAACATGATGGCACCCTAAAATCTTCCCTCAAAACTCAAACTTGGTGCATTAAAATTCAACAAAAAAATAGATTTTTTTTTTTTGGGTACAAATTTACAAAACTGATTTTCATTATTGATCGAAGGAGAAAACTTTAGAAGTTATATTTGTGACATCCGATTTCTCTTCAAATCCATTTGAAAAGAAATCAAACGCTTCTAATGTTATGAGATTATGAAGTATTGACAGCATAAGAGTGGTTACCTTTCTTCCGAAAATTTCTGAAAGAAAGCGACTGGGTCTCGCAGACATGTTTCTGCTCCTTGATGTATGGGATGCTTAAATGAATAATTTGTTAGATACGCATCATAAGATTTGGGACTAATGATGGAAGAGGAGAAAGGATGCCGGCCAATGATAAAGTTTTAAAATAATATAAAGGTAGATAGTTGCAAATTAAAAGGAAAGATGGGAAAAGGATATTAGCTCTTGCAGTACTCTGTTTTGGTCTATGCATTTGGCCTCTTCAGAGAGAAGGGAGAAAGAATAAGTCTTGGAATATGGCAAGGTTGCATCTAGCACAAGTTAAAAAAGTTCCAATGTATATATAAAACAGCAAGCGAGATAACAAGGGGAATAAACAGGCTGGAGGTTAAATTTAGTTATATCGAGTTTTTTAACCATTAAATTTATTTTTAAATACGTATAATACAAAAATAATTGATGAATTATGTATTATATTCATCAATTTTCATTCTGGTTATGTCTAAGTCAATATATGATAGCCAAGTTGTTGAAATCAATTTGGGATGGGAAGGGAGGGGGCGGTGTCTGCGCAGAGAGAGTTTTTTTTTGTTTTTTTGGAACATTGGATAGCAAGAGTCAAGACAGCCCATGGCTCGGAAGACCTACAACCGGGACGACTCATAGCCAGGACAACCCACAACCGGGATGTAAGCTTAGTGATACACCTAAAATATATAATATTTTTATACATATTTTTATACCTATTTTTTGAGATATTGTGCTTTAATGAAGGATATTTGTGTGTTTTTCTTTCAGGTACAATCGAATGGATGAAAAATGCTAAAATGAGTGAAAAATGGTCAAATTTGGAGCAAAATTGAAGAAAGATGCAAAAATGAACTGGGGCGCCTAAGCGCCCAAGTCTGACGCCTAAGCGCCATAGGCTCCACGTCAAAGTGCCAGGTACCCCGCGCTCAAGCTCCAAAAGTAGTTACTTGATGATATATTTAATTTGAGCAGATTTTTGAAGAGGTGTTTGAAACAACCCTTGATAAAAAACATGAGAAATAGCCCATGGACACGAAAGTTCATTCTATTGGCTTTTGAGGGGGCAACTTCTAGAAGATTCATTGAATGGAGACAGCTTTTTAAAGAGACACCAAGAAACCCCTTGAATTTTTATAAGAAAAGACTTAGATTTTCCAGGAGAGGAGGCTAGCCACCCATCAACTTTACAACCATCATCCATCTAAGTGGTCGTTGCCGCCGCCGCCAACCACTTTTCTTTTTATTTTGAGTTTTAATTTGTATTGTGAGCGAAAGAAGAGAATTCAAAGGAACTTCAAGACATTTGGTGGAGAGAATTTGAGATAAGTTTTTATCTTTGTGACTACACTTGGTTTTAATTTAGATTTCTTGTTTGTGTGCATGATCTCTACTTTTAAACTCATGTGTGATTGTGTTTTCTCTATGTAAGACTTGGGTTAGATGATTGCATCTTAAATTCAATCCATCGGCCTTTTTAACCCAATTTATTCACTAGACTTTAGAACATTTTCTAAAATCCTCACACCATGAACAAATGTTTGACTTGTATTTAGAGAGATGAGCAATGGTAGTTTCAATTTTATAATTCTCTTATTCTTTTTCTACTGACCTTTCATTGAACTAGAATATTTATAACAAAAATATGTTAAACTGAATCTCTTGGAGGGACGAATCACAGTGGGAACGACCTGAAGCCTGTATTACAAGCTTGGACAACCCGAAGCCTGGATGACTCGTAGCTTGGATGACCTGTAGCCGGGATGACCCACAACCTTGAAGACCCATAGCGTGGACGACCTGCAGCCTAGAAGGCGCATAACTTAATCGACCCACAGCTAGAACGACTCGTGGCATGGACGACTCACAGTTGAAACAACCCGAAACTAACTAAGCTTAGACGGTCAAGCCAAAAAACAACTTCAGTATAAGCTCATACATGCTAAATATCAAAAGTACACCTAAAACAACCCCATTAAAGATGGGACAAATATGCAACTTCATTAAGTGTACCTTCTCACATATAAATATCAGATATTTATTTCATGATTAAAATAGGTTATGGAGGCCTAGGAATGCCTTAATTTCCCCATATTAATGTTCATTGTTGTTCACTTATCTCTCTCTCTCTCTCTCTTTCTCTTTATCTCTCTTATTTTATGCTCTAACCCTTGAGATGTGATTCACAGACAGAAACGAGATTCAATAGTCATATATGCTATATTAATAGAAATTAATAAAATCTTCATATAATATAAAGGATCAACTAATAATAACCATTTATTTCAATTATTTATGGACAAATACTTTCCTTGATCACTAAAATAGTTGACCCTTGAATCCTTGAGTTTATTATAAATGTAAATCTTGAGGGGAGGGTGAACGGAGAGGAGAGGAGAGAGAGTTTATTTTTATTTTTTTAACATTTGAAAGTAAGAATTGAGATAATAATTTATTGTATCCCGGTTTCACTCATTGCCCTCTATTATGGATTGGGTTATGGCACCTCATTTTAGAATAAAGTACATAAAATATAACGGTAGAAACCATATTATTAGCTAGAAGCTAATAAAGTTTTACCATAAAATAAAGGATAAATTAATAATACCATTTAATTAAATTAAGCATGGAATGAGACTTTCGGAAATCACTAAAAATAGTTGACCATCAAATCCTTGAGTTATTACAATTCAATCAGTTTTACTTGAGTTTATTGTGAATAATATTTATGTGTAAACTTAATTCCTTGATTCCTTTTTTTTTTCTTTTTATTGAGAAATCTCTATAATACATGTGAACTAGAGTATTCATATATAATATCTATGACATCCTTTTCAACCTATGTTTTTTTTGAAATTTGGTTTAAACATAATTTGGAAAAGTTTGATTTGAAGATATACATAATAATATAATAGCTTTGAATAGAGCTTTACTAGAGTTTGAACATTATTCAAATAGGTTCAAAAATTGTTCAAATAAGGAGTTGGCACTTGGCCACATCTAACAAAACCTAAACTTTATTTACATTTAGCTCGGGATTGTGTGCTTTAAAAATTCGAGGCCCAAGTCTTCCTCAAAAGAAAAATGATGAATAAGAGCGAGGGAGTTTACCATGAGTTTCCAAGTCAAAGTTTTCAGAAAGGCGAATGAGATAATAGATAAAACACTATCCAAAGATTTTGCCCTAATTTTATAAGGATTTTAAGATCCGAGGTTCTATGTTTCCCATAAGCGTAAGCTCTTATGGTTAATCATCCCTCTCGATAATAGAAGAACACTTTCGATTCCAGCCAGAGCCATTTGATTGGGTGATTTGTCCAATAGACTCCGTCTAGGGATCTGGTCTAGTTGGCTCTATTGAACGGTTTGGCTGAAAGGCTCTATCTAGTGGTTTGACCAATAGGCATCATCCGGTAGTGGGCCCTATCAAACGGTCATGGCTATTGCCAGTATGATCGCCAATAACTTTGCTTATTGGAGCCGAGAACAGTAGAGTATATAAAATAAGGCATAAGGCCCTTTGTTAGCTAAAATGACATATATTTATTCCCATAAACAAACATTCACCCCATGTTATTAGATTCTTTGGATGAAGCAACCTATGGCTGATGACAATGATCATTCTGTGAGGTTATGTCGACTACCTCATCTAACTAAGTAGACTAGGGGTTAGGGAATCCGGGGATGACAAAATCATGAGATCTTGATCGGGTTCGTCATCTTTTAATTTACTATTTTCTATAAGCTAACAGTGATAATTTTACAACTTCAAATCTAAAATTTGTTGCCATATATGCTAAGTATGAATAGTTAGCATTTAATTGAAAGTGCTCTTCCGTTATCAGGATGAATAATTAACAAAAGGTGCTTCCGCCTATGAGAAACTTCAAACCCCATATCTTAAAGTACATGCAAAATAACAACAAAATCTTTGGGTAGTGTCTTATCTACTGTTTCATCTTCTTTCTAAAAATTTGAACTCGAACATCTCGATAAACTCTCTCACGCATACTCATTCTTTTTCGAGAGAGAGGCTTGTGCATTTTGAATTTTTGGAGCTCACATCTGCTGGATGCAATCTATTAATTGTACATCAATGATCTTAAGTTCAAGATATACATTGCTCCCTATAGATTTAAAGACAATAATATTTAACACAACTATTAAAAAGTTCTTTTTATACATAGGTATGCATTTATTGATTGACTCACATACCATATATCAAGGGCAATTATAATACATAAATCAAAAGTCAAATTGGGAAGACAAGAAAAAAAGTCAAACTAAGTAGAAGTGGCAGCCAAGACATTGAGTTTTGCCTTGGAAACACACTTGCATACATGAAAAAATAATTAATTGGTCTAAGTAAAGAGGCAACCTAAGAGTAATCAAAATGTTTATCTTACCATCAAAACAACCACCTAATTCAGCTCTCCTTAAAATAAGAGGTTGGTCCACTCTTTTAAAGCAACTATCCTAACCATCTTGAAATATTAGACCAACCGATCCTGTCTTTCGAAGAAAATTTGAACTCTTAGGTGACCCAACTTAGCCTAACTTGAGCCCAAACTTGACCCAAGACCTTAATAAATCAAATTCCAAAAAAAAAAAAAAAAGTATTCATATTTCATAAAAAATACTATTATTTTAATTTTTAAAAATTAAAATACACTTTTTTTTGCATTGCTAAGATGATATGACCGTAGAATTTGAAGCTTAGGTGTTAGATATTTGAATACATAGGAATTGAGTGCAATCTTTCTAATCCTAAACAAGAAAGAGGCATTTACATTCATAGCACACAATTCTTATGCACATACATATCTCACACCTAAACATTCATATTTACATTAATACCACTCAAATATTTAATTTCACACAAAAAATAACACTATTTGTATTTACATATCTCATACCTAAACTATCATATTTACACAGATAACACTCAAAACTTTAATATCACATAAGAAATAAGAATCCTAAACCCTTTCTAAAAGTAAAATACACATTTTCATGCATTTTCTTAAAGCACCAAAGTCCTATATATGCAAAATGAAAGTTTAAGTATGAGACATGTATAAACATAAAAATTGTGAGCTGGGCATGTAAATTTCCCAAATATAGAGCAGCAAAAATCACATTTTAGGCCTTATATATGTAAATACATAGGAATTGAGTGGTATGCACGAGATCACTTGCTGTTATCGCGAGCCTGGATTAGAAATCAGGAGCCATAATATTGTGTGCCTTGTGTGCCAGAGCCAGAGAACGA